GTCATCTTTGGAGCGGAAATTCTTAGCTTAGGAGTCGTGGGATCTGGTTTCCTCTCATCTCAGTCACTCACCAGGTATGTGACCTTGAGTGAGATTCTGAGCCTCAGTTTAGTCATCTTTGGAGTGGAAATTCTCAGTCATCTTTGGAGCGGAAATTCTTACAGGTTGTTGTGAGGGTCAGATGAGGCAAGGGAACAGTCTGGGCTCCATGAACTGGAAGCAGAGGCGGGAGGAGGTCCCACGGAGTCCTGTGAGATGTGAGACACTGCCCTGCTGCCTGCCCTTCACAGACCTGTGTACGTGGAGGAGATCATGCGATTCCTGTCCAGCTTGAGGCAGAGCCCCTGTCCTTTACCCTGTAGGCACAGGAAGCTAGAGGCATTCTACCGCCCAGGAGCAACCTGCCCAGGCTTCACCCAATGCCTTTTGTCACCAAGTTCTGCCCAGTTTAAGGGGTTGAACTGGGTTAGTTTAGCTCCAAGATCCCTTCTTTTTCTAAACTATGAGCTTGTGATTCTAGTCAATAAGCTCTGGACGTTGCACGGAGGCTGGGTCAGCCACTCTGTAGTCGTGATAATAATCCTAGATACCGTTTACTCGTAATCTCATAAACAGCAGGGGATTTGCGTGCGGTGCCAGCAGTCTTCACAAGCCTTGAAGGGGGATGTTTGTCCACATTTACAGGCTCAGAGATGGTTAGTGAGGTGCCCAAGAGCACACAGCCGGTTCTCGCAGATCCACATTCATCCCCAGGCACCAGAGCCCAGGTTCTTCTCACTAGCATATTGTTGCGGTCTTTGTTCTCTCCACCTGCTCTTGCCTCTCATTGCCCCTTACCCACTGGTGGGACAGGGTAAAACCGAGTGCCAGAGATGCCTTTCCAGCCCACCAAAGGTCTGGCTCCACCCAACAGATGAAATCATCTGCAGATTTGGACTGACATTAAAAATAACAATAGTTACTATTTGTCAAGTATCTATTATTGGCTAACATACTAATGATCTAGGGGGAAAATGTCCAAGTTAAGAATTATCTTCATTTTCCCAATGGAGAAACTGAGGCTTAGAAAAGTCAAGTCTGATGCCCAGTGACACAGTTGAGCCTCAGCTGCAAAATGGTGGTTGCAACATTCCATTCAAATGAATCACGCTTGTCAAATGTGAGCTACAGTCAGAGCTTCTGATTACTGATGCTGTGACAGCCTTCAGTGGGAGGCTTAGAAAAGTCAAGTCTGATGCCCAGTGACACAGTTGAGCCTCAGCTGCAAAATGGTAGTTGCAACATTCCATTCAAATGAATCAAGCTTGTCGAATGTGAGCTACAGTCAGAGCTTCTGATTACTGATGCTGTGACAGCCTTCAGTGGGAGAGCCTTGGGCCCAGCCACCTGCTTTACAGATGCACAGACAGCAGCCTGGGGAGGTGGCTGATTTGCTCAGGGTCCCACAGGTGGTGAGTAGTGTCCTGACCCCCAGGCCGGGATTCTGTGAACTGCTGTACCCCTTTCTCTGTCTGTCCATTCCTACTTATTTAGTTTTCTGCTGCTTATAACAATACCTGAAAGTGGGTAATTTATAAAGAAAAGAGGTTTATTTCTTACAGTTTTGGAGGCTAAGTCCAAGGGTGAAGGGGCACCTCCGGTGAGGGCCTTCTTCTTTGTAGGGACTCCCAACAGAATCATGTGGTGACACGGTATCACATAGCTAGGGCTGAGCAAGAGCACATTTAACATGCTCGCTTGCTCTCCTTGTAAAGCCACCAGTCCACATCCATGACAACCCATTTACTCATTAACCCATTAATCCATGAGTGGATTAATCCATGCACAAGGGCAGGGCCCTCATGACTCAATCACCTCCCAAAGGCCCCACCTCTCAACACTGTCACCTTGGGGATCAAGCTCCCACATGAGCTTGGGGGACAAACATTCAAACTATAACACAACCTTGCCCTGTGAGATCCAGCACCTCCTCATGAAGCCTCCACCACCCAGACCAAGCTATGCCTCTGCCCAGCCACATGTGCAGCTTTGGTGTCAGTGCACGTGGATGCACCCGCCCACCAGCTGGCACCTCCAAGATGGGAAAAGGGGCTCCTGTCCTCAAAAGCTCTCTAAGTGGATGACAACTCCCAGGACCGCTCTCCCTCCCCAACTTGCCCCTGCATAACTTGTATCACGAAAGCTGGGGTTTAGGGTCCCACTGCCTCCCAGCGTGTGCAAGAGGAAGCCAGCGCCCAGGGCCTGGCTCCTGAAGTGGGGTTCAGGCATCTTCCCCCCATGGCAGGGGCCACAGCAGCCAGGAGAAGCTCGGGGCCTGGCCACTGGACACACCTCTGTCCTTCAGTGGTAGCCTTCTGAGTCTCTCTGCTCAGGTTGTCTTTTTCCTCCCCTGTCTCTGATAGAGACCGGGGAGCTCTGCTAAGCTCTCTGACTTACGACCTTCCTTTGAGTAGACAGACGATGAGCCCAACCTCTCCCTAACAACCACCTTTTTCCTTTTGGTGCCGTCCATGCTCAGTGCCACCTCCTCTCTCCTCTGCCTGGGCCTCTCCAACTCCCTCCATACCCTCACAGACCCCGCACCCCACCAGTCAAGGGCCCTTTAATTCCACCTCGACCAGCTGCCTGCCCTCCTCTCTGCCGGCTGCTCCTGACTCATCTATGTCCAAAGATAGGGAAGTCCAAGGCCTCTTACTGGGGCCATTTCTAGGCATTTTCTTTCCCTTTTTATGATAGTTATCTAATGCACAACAAATCACCCCTGGTTAAACTTAGTGGCTTAAAACAGCAAGAGTCATTGATTGTCTTCACAGTGTCCATGGGTCAGCAATTCAGAGCTTCTCGGCTGGGCAGTTCTGGTGTAGAGTCCCTCGAAATTAAGTTGCAGTCAGAAGTCTGCTGTAGCTGCTGTCACCTGAAGGCTTGACTGGAGCTAGCAGAGCCACTTCCAAGGTGGCTCATTCAAATGGCTGGCAAAGTGGTGCCAGCTGTGGGCAGGTGGCCTCAGTTCCTCTGCAGGGCTGCTTGAGTGTCCTCACAGCATGGCAGCTGGCTTCCCTCCAACTGGCCAATGCAGAGCCTGCAGTCCTTTTATGATTTAACCTTGGAAGTCACACACTGTCACTCTCTCCATATTCTATTGGTCATATGAGCTGCCCCCATTCAGTGAAGGAGGGGACTGCACAAGGGCATGAGAACCAGGAGGTGAGAATCACGGGAAGCCGTCTGGGAGGCTGGCTGCCACGCCTTTTAAAACTACACAAGGCTAAGTCTTCAGTTGACCTAGGAATGCGTCTCCTGACTTTCTCTCTCCTTTCTTTATAAACAGGCATCTGGTGTACTTAAATCCTGTTCTGGGCTGTAGAAGTGGATAAGGCCATGGATCCTTCCCTAGAGGAACTCGTAGTTAAGTAGGGGAGACAGTCTCCTGGCGAGAAGTGCTAGAAAAGAGACAGGTGCAGAAAGATGGGAGCACGAAGCACAGGTCATTACCCATCTGGGGGAATGTGGAACGCCTTCCCAGCAGGAAACATTTGCCCTTGAAGGATGAATAGACGCTCCTCGGGTGGGAGGAGGAGGAAGGACATTGTTCCGTGCAGAATAATAGCATGTGCACTGGCAGAGAGTTATGGCAGCCGATGCCACTGGGATGTGAAAGGTCTTGAAGCTGTGATAGAGACCTCAAGCTTCATACATCAGGAGCCACTGGAGGCCTCCAGCCAGAGGAATGCCTGGCAGAGCTGTGTTGTGGACAGGACAGGACTAGCGGTGGCAGGAAGTCCACTCGGGGCTGCTGTGGTGATCCCCAAGAGGAGGAAAGACTAGCTGAGCTGGGGCCATGGGGACCAGAGAGGAGGGTCGGATTCAGGAGGTGGAGCTGAAAGGATGTCTCTGTGGGGAGAGAGCAGGAAGGCCTGAAGGTCATGACCTACCTTTTCCATAGTCTCTTGCCCTGGGACCTTCCTTCCCTAACTCTTGGCTCCTCGAGGATGACCCAAGGATGTCATGCCCATTGGCCTAGGACTGAGGATATTAAGTGTTTTAGGCCACAGGCATCTTTGAGAATCCAGTGAAAACTATGAACCATCTTCCCAGGGGAAAAAAATAACACACGTGTGTACACACAGTTTGTGAGCAATTTCAGAAGGCTCACAGTCCCCTTGAAGCTCGTCCTTGGGTCTCTGGATCCCAAATTAAAAGCCCCAGGCCTGGGAAGAACTGGGAAAATAGAGCAAATGTTTGACACCCCCCCCCAACGTCTGTTATTTAATCTTCTTTTACTATCCCCCCTCCCACCACCCATGATTGGGCAGCCCCTGACACCACAAGAAGTGGGGGATGCTTTTACCCAGTGATAGCCCTGGTGGTCCCAGCCTCACTTGGCAGGTTTATTTCCATTATTTTAGTAATTTTCAGGCTGCGGGCTACAATTTTCACTTGCAGTGAGGTATTAAATTGAAATTACCCCAGATGTAATTGTCATATAAAATAATCCTGGACACATGGAAGTGAATGCTTTTTCAAGATGGGGTTTTATTGCTTACATTGGGATTTAGGGCTCTGCCTCTTTAAACATGCCAGATTTAGGTGTGTGTGGCAGGGGGTCAGGGTCTGCACATATGGCAGGCTGAAGCTGTTGGCCCAGAACACAGGAGGCCTCTGCTGGCTGGGATTTGCCCTCTGGTCAGTGCACAGGCAGAGGGGCTAGAAAGGCACAGACTGGGGCGCACAGCCCAAGACTTGGGGTTGGGTTTATGCAGCAACTAGGAATAACTGTACACTAACTCAGGCTTGCAAGAAATACCACATTTATTTTCTGTATATCAACTTAATTTGGCTACAAGCCCAAGTTCCCATGAGGCCCTGGAGTCTTAGCAGATGCTATGCAACTGGGGAGGCCCCAGCAGACACCAGGCATCTGTCCATGCTGGTGACCACCCCCATGCCCTTGGTCCCAGCCCTTCAGAGGTCTCAACTTGTCTTCTGCTTTCCTTCCCCAGATGCAAGCTGCTGGACTACTGTACGGACCTCCCACCCACCAGCATCATCATCACCTTCCACAACGAGGCCCGCTCCACCCTGCTCAGAACCATCTACAGGTGAGGCTGCTTTGCTGTCTGTCGGCCAGTTCCAGGCCCGCCCGGCCCTTGGTGCAGGTGTGTCTACTCACTGGGCGCCTGGCCCTGGGATAAGACTATGGGGCACTTCTCCACGTGTCCACTCAGTAGCTCCTCACACTCCTGTGAGGGAGCCTGCTATCCCATTGTATAGGGAGAAGGAGGCCGTAGGGGCAGGGTACTTGTAGAAGCCCACAGAGAGAAAACAGAGGAACTGGTCCTGGGGACCCTGCCCTTCATCACGGTGCTCAGCTGCCTGGAGCAGGAGTTGTAATTGTCACAACTGTCGCAGGAACTGTGGCCTGCGAGGCCAAGTGCATCCGCACCCTGGCAGCAGGCCACCCTTCCAGCCCCTGATCCCACACCCAGGTACTTGTAGAAGCCCACAGAGAGAAAACAGAGGAACTGGTCCTGGGGACCCTGCCCTTCACCACGGTGCTCAGCTGCCTGGAGCAGGAGTTGTAATTGTCACAACTGTCGCAGGAACTGAGGCCTGCGAGGCCAAGTGCATCTGCACCCTGGCAGCAGGCCACCCTTCCAGCCCCTGACCCCACACCCGCCCACACCCACCAGGGGCTGTGGTGCTGCAGATCAGAGCAGCACAAGATAATCTCTAATGTTTGCCTTCTTGGCCACCTCCCTTCAGTGCCAGCCCTGTTCCCCCTCGGGCCTCTCCGTCTACCCTCATCTCCTACTCTGGATTGTGCTCTTGCTTTAATGGGTACGTCCTGCTATGTGTGGCCTGTGTCCTGCATGGATTTTTGATATGCACAGGTCCCAGCGCCAGCCCCCAGCAGAACTCCCTCCGAACACAGACCCGCACCCAAAAGACTCGCCCAGGAATTCCTCCCCCAGGTTCCCCAAGGACCCTGGCCCAAGGCCACGGGTTCGGATCCCATATAGGGATGGCCGGTTGCTCACTGGGTGAGCGTGGTGCTGACAAAAGACTCGCCCAGGAATTTCTCCCCCAGGTTCCCCAAGGACCCCACTGGTCCTGGGGACCCTGCCCTTCATCACGGTGCTCAGCTGCCTGGAGCAGGAGTTGTAATTGTCACAACTGTCGCAGGAACTGTGGCCTGCGAGGCCAAGTGCATCCGCACCCTGGCAGCAGGCCACCCTTCCAGCCCCTGATCCCACACCCACCAGGGGCTGTGGTGCTGCAGATCAGAGCAGCACAAGATAATCTCTAATGTTTGCCTTCTTGGCCACCTCCCTTCAGTGCCAGCCCTGTTCCCCCTCGGGCCTCTCCGTCTACCCTCATCTCCTACTCTGGATTGTGCTCTTGCTTTAATGGGTACGTCCTGCTATGTGTGGCCTGTGTCCTGCATGGATTTTTGATATGCACAGGTCCCAGCGCCAGCCCCCAGCAGAACTCCCTCCGAACACAGACCCGCACCCAAAAGACTCGCCCAGGAATTCCTCCCCCAGGTTCCCCAAGGACCCTGGCTGTTTCAGCTGTCTTCCACCATGCCCTGCCTCCTGCTCTCCCCTCTCGTCGTCATCTGCCTCACCCTCCCTGATGCAGGTCTCCAGCAGCATCTGCATCTTAGATGATGGTGGGGCAGCTACAGTCCCTAAGTGACAGTGGGGCAGCCACAGTCCCTAAGTCCTGCGCATGTGCAGACATGCTGTGGCTCATGCTTCCCAACTGAGGATGCTGATGAAGGAGCTGAGGAAGCTGATAAATCAAGGTCTGATGTCACAGCTAACAGTAGTCAAGCAGGATTCCAGCCCTTGCCCTCTGACCTCTGGGCCCTTCTTCTCAGCAGCTTGAGCAGGGCAAGGCTGGTCCCCTGGTGGTGTTCAGCATCACTGGGAGAGGGGTTGGACTGGGGGTGCACACAGCTGCATCCTCCAGCAGAGCAAGGGACACACAGCCAGTTACAGCCCATCCTGATGTGCTGGGCAGCACGTCAGCTAGTCACCTGATGCCACAGAGAAGAAATAAGATTAAATGTGGGCCAAAGAGCATGCACCAAGCACAGCAAAATCTCTTGTCAGTTCCATCAAATTTTTCCTCTCTCCCTCTGACACCTGCATGGCTGTGGGCGGTGGAGGTTCCAGGTGATGGGATGGAAGTTTTGCAGCAGGCTTGCGCTGAGGGAAGGCTCCAAATCTTCAGCTCCACCTGTCACTAATGATAAATGTCCACTGAGCAGGGTTAGCACGTCTCTTAGAAACATAGTGAGGGACCTGCGAGGACACATGCTGTGCAGCCCAGTGCTTCCACCCATCCAAGGGGCATCTCTGTGTGCAGCCCAGTGTCCCTGGCCACTGATGGGTTGGTCCTTCCACCAGCTGTGAGCCCTATCTGGCTTCCGCATTCTCTCCACAAGCCACCCAATTCGAATTTGATTTCCCAATGAGTCAACAGCTCTTGATAAGAGAATGTGCCGAGTCACTGTCAGGTACCACGGTGAGTCTCATAGGAGATGAATCAAGTGCATTGCTGGTTTATAAACCAGTGTGGGTATGTGTCAGGGGAACAGGGATAAGGGGAGGTCTGATTTGCCTGGGTCTCCTCTAGTAAAGGGAGAAAGGAGTTTCTGGGCCTTCCAAGCTGAGCAGGCACCCAGAGGGGCAGAGGTGGCTGATTCTGAAGTGCCAAACCACAGCCCAGCTGCCGACATGATCTGCTTGACACCAGGGCAAGTTTATGGAGCAAACATGTGGCAGTTTCCGCCTTTCCTGCTGTCCATGGCTGCTCCACAGGTCATGCCTGGGCATGTCTGCCAGATGTTTCCATGTGGACACTTCCAGGCTGGCCTCTACTGGTCCTTCGAGGAGTTCTCTGATGCCAGGCACCTCCCCTCCCCCATACACACAACCATCAGGGTTTCCTCAGGGCCTTCTGTGCACATCACTGCTCTAGCGCTTACTGCATTGTTCCCAGATGTAATCTCAGGGAGCTCCTTTAGGGCAAAGACCATATACCTTATTCACTCTCTCACTTCACCTCCTTATGGCTCAGTTTCCTAATCCAGAAAATGGGCATACTAATCGTACTTAGCAAATAGTGTTGCTCCAGGTTAATTCAGCTGAAGGACTGAGGACTGTGCCTGGCACAGAATATGTGCTTGGTCAGTGTCAGCCGTCTGTGTGTCTGCATGGCTAGTGAGCTCTCGAAAGAGAAGCAGCTGTGCGGTACTTAAAGGGCCCAGGACCAGGAGTCAGAAGACCTGGGGTCAGGTCCTTACCCTATCACTTCCTAGCGGTGTGACCTTGGGCAGGTTATTAACCACATGTGTGAAAATGGTATAAAAATATCTTTCATGTTTCAAGTTCTATCACAATAAACTTTCCTCTCAGGAATGTCTTGGACATTTGGGAGCATTACAGTACAACATGGGGGATCCCAGGCCCCCCATGCCTCCCTGACACTGTTTATGTTCTCGGGGCACTGCAGCTGCTGCCCTCAGACTCTTCCCCGTCAGCTCTGAGACGTTTTCTCTCCCTGCTGCTCCTCTTTGTGATAGCAGTAATGGTACTTAATACTAACAATATTAATACATTAAGGTGTCCTGAGCTTCTGGTGTGCAGGGCACATTCCCTCTCTCACTCCACTTGGAGCCTCATCTGAGCCTGTGAAGTGGGTGATGCGTGGGATGAACAGGGCCCAGAGCCATGGGTGTGGACAGCAGAGAAACCAGCCTTGGGTTTTCTTACTTCCCTCAGGGTCCAGCCCCAGCTCCTCTATCCACTGGCCTGATGGAGGGCTGTCCCCAAGACCCTGGCACCCTGCACTCTGGGAGGAGGCTTGGGACCCATCAAGACCATACTTTTAGGAAGACACCAATGAACTACCAGGTGATGTAGCCGAGGGAGCCTGTGGAGCTGTTTCCTGCCTCCCAGGTCCCCAGTGCCGGCCCGATTGTGATGCACACACACAGCAGAACAGGGCCAGAGGACTCTGTGTGAGCAGACAGGTGCCTCTCTCATCAGAAGGCTGGGTGGAAGTGAACTTTAGGAGTGGAGGCAAGAGGGATTACTTCTAGAAATTTCCATGCCTTAAGATTCTGTATCTCCCTTCCACTCTGTAACCTGTCCCACAAATCAATCACTAGCCACTGAAAGGGGACTGAATGCAGAGGACTCCTATCTTGCTTTTGTCATCCATGAAAGGATCTCCTCTTAGGTACCTTTCATCTTAACTTTTGAGAATTCTAGATGGCTTTGCCTTCAGGCTCTCACAAGGGAAAGATGCTCCAGGAACTGAGGTGGAACTGAATGTCCCCTCTTCCCTCCCCACCACACCTGCCCATCCCCACCCAGGCCCTCTGGCCCCCTAAGCTCCCAGGGTTAGCTGGGGAGCTGGGAGCTGGAAGGGCACCCGTGGGCACTCAGAGCCAGGCCTCATGGGGTGGGGGATGCAGGAGGGAGTAAGAATCACAACCGTAATGACTTAGGGAACTTCCTCACTTATGGAGAGAGAAAACAAGCCCCAAAGAATGGTCTATCTTGCCTTTTGCTTCAGCAAGTCCTTGTGTATAGGTGAGACCCAGGGTTGTCCCCTTCCTCTTGGGGCATCCTTTGGCCCTGCCTCTCCTATGGGGGCTTTGGAGCATGCACAATTGATCACTTTATATCCTGAGTCTCCTCGCTGTTACTTTTTTTTAATATCCTAGATCTGAAGGAGCAGTTTTTCCGGTTAAGGTGGTTTAGAATTTGGACTCTAGGGCCGGATTTGCCTGGCCCTGCCCTTAACAGCTGTGTGACCCTGGGCAAACTACTTAACCTCTCCGCTTCAGTTTCCTTTTCTGCAAAACATGGACTACAGCTAATAATTACTGGGCATTACCATGGAGAAGATTGAATGGGTTCAGATAGGTATAGGATGTGGAACAGTGCCTGGCACCTAGTGTGACAACAGGTGTTGCTGTGAGCCTCCCGCCCCAATGGCTGTTCAGCCTGATGGAGGGCTGTCCCCAAGGACAGTATCCTAATGCAGCTGCTCCCAAACTTGAGCAGGCATCAGAATCCCTGGGGGGGTTGCTAAAACATGGTTTCTTGAGCCCCATCCCCAGTGGTACTGGCTCAGTAAGTCTGGAGTGGGGCCCAAGAATTTGCATTTCTAACAAGTCCCCAGGTGGTGGTGATGCTGCTAACTCACACTTGGAGGACCACAGCTGTAAGTCACGCCTGTTGCTATTATTGGCGTGGATATTATTATTGGGTACACATCCAGAGAGCAGCTGCTGTGTGCCAGGCGCGGTGCTAAGCTCCTCTCATGCAGCTGGGGAAACTGTTGAGCTGGAGGTTCAGTACTTACTGATGCTCTCCCAGCTGGTGAACGGTGGGTCCACAGATACAGTACTTGAAAACAAGTCAGTCTCACTCCAGAAAAACTAAACTCAACTGTCAGCTGGCCTTGGGTCTTCATTCAGCTGGTATTTATGGAGCATTTGATAAAACCTGCCTGCATATAGCACCGTGGAGTTCACAAAGCAATTTCAAATACATTTCCTCATTTCATACGTACAAAAGCCTGTGAAGTAGGTCAAGTATTAATATCGCCTGCTTTTTTTTTTTTTTTGTCTTTTTCCGTGTCCGGCAACGGATCACAACCCTCAGTGTCGCCCCCGTACCGGACCAGGACCGGCAACGGGATCGCAACCCTTGGTGTTGCCCCACGCCTCGCTCAGCCAGTGAGCGGGAACCGGTCTGTATGTGGGATCCGAACCCTCGGCGGGAGCGCCGCCGCGCTTCCCAAGGGGGGCACTTATCCAGTGCACCACCAGGCCGGCCCTCAAGCTCACTTCTTTTTTTTTTTTGTCTTTTTCCGTGTCCGGCAACGGATC